GAGGAAGGAGGATTTGTTTGTGTGGTAAAATGCACGAAAGACTACTATAAAAAAGAAAAAAAGAGCGTGCTTTGTAAGTACATGTGTGCATTTGAGTGGGGGAGGAACGCTTTACGTGTGATGCAACGCAATTCCTCTTTCCACCATGGACGCGTTATTTGGTATCCTGGCAATTCTCAATGTGCCTTCGCTCGGAAGCCGCTTAATGATCCTTTAATACTTCAAACATATTTTTGGGCTTGTTCCATTTTTATTCTGCTTTTCCGTGTGTGTTTGTATGTGCCTCTAATCGTCTTCCTATTTCTTATCGTGCGCTTACCAACACTCACATTAAAGTTTAGGATTACTCACTAAAGTTTCAAACAGACGAAAAAAAAGAACCCAAGTGTTGTTATAGCAACAAAGGCAAAGGCAATATCGATCGATTTCTCGACGCTTTCTTCTTTTTTCGTTGTTTGGTCGATTTTCTTATTTTCTTGTTTTTTTGCCTACCCTCCTGATTCTCAAGCTCCTCCGCAATGTCGAGCGATCTGATCAGCAAATACACCTTCAAGGATGACTACGTCAACCCGCGTGGGATTCCACGCGTTGCGTTCATCGACAACACGGCGGAGCTCGTGAAGTCGAGCGGGGATTCTGTCGAAACCATCCTCAAACGGCTGGGGGAGCAGTATAGCAAGTACAAACTCGCGGAGCACCGCCTCATCCGCAGCGTCGCGAGCCTCGAATCGAAGATACCGGATATCAAAAAAACCCTCAAGACGATCGACTTCTTAGAAGCCCAGCTCGATGGTGCCGATGGTGGGAAAGGATTTAATACGAATTACGGATTAACGGAGAGCGTTTTCTGCCAGGCTCACATTCCACCACAGAAGACGGTGCATCTTTGGCTGGGCGCGAATGTGATGGTGGAGTACAGCTTCGACGAAGCGAGAAAACTCCTTGAGCGAAATTTAAAAAGCGCGACGGAGAATTTGAGCAAAACGCAGGAGGATCTGACGTGGCTGCAGGAGCAACAGACCACCTTGGAGGTGAACACCTCACGTATTTACAACTACGACGTCGTGCAGCGGCGGGGAAAGGAACAGAATAAAGGGACTCAATAGGAGTCCAAACTCAAAGGATAGAAGAATTAAGAAAAAGAAAAGACCGAAGAAAAGGTTCTCTATTTAAAGAAAAAATAATGAAAGCTGTGAAAGGGGGAAAAGTGTATATGTATAAATATTATTTATATATGCATATATGCCTATATGGGTGTGTGTTCATGGGCTGGGAGTGATTTTAAAAATTTACATGGTGTTAATCATTGAATGACGCGTGTTCCCTTTATTAGCGTATTCGCCGTACCTCGCTCAGGAAATCATCCAGGAGGAACCTAGCTTTCGTATGCCCCATGCGTTGATGTCCTTTCATGTGTTATGTTTTCGAATTAAATGAATTCTTTTCCTTTTTCATTTCCATTTGGCTTTATTGGCATTCTTCGTGCGATTGTAGAGTTTTGCATGGTTGATATGAATCCGAAAAGGAAAAGGATAGACATCTATCGATATTCATATGCAACAGCAATCCCATTGTTCACTCAGATACCATGAAAAAAATAGCGCTTTTCCCGAAAACCGCCAGCCCGTATCGCGTTAAATCCGCTTCCTCGATGTTTTCGAGCGCCTTCAGGCTAAACGCTCTTTCTAAGGTATCCTTTCGAAGAAATCTCCAGCGCCCTTCCTTCCGCGGTGAAGGCAGCACGCGGTGGGGCTCCAGCTTCGCGTTTCCCGCCACACTGCGTTTAACATCAGATGAGGAGGCGTATCTCGAGCGTTTATTTCATTCTTTATCCAATCGCAATGAGAATATCCATCATAATTTGGATAATCCTGATCATGACCCTCCTCATTCGAATAACGATGATAAAACTGAGGTGACGTCGGCCTCGCCGGCGGGGCTTTGGGCAGCGTGTGTGGCGGACGGCCCCGCCTGCCCGCTCGCTGTCCTCCACGCAGCCTATCAACTCCGCCGGGAGTTTCAAACAAACCCCCCTCCCCCCAACCCTCCGCGAGGTCAAACAGAAAAAACGGAAGAAACTGAAGAGCCCTTCGAAAAAAACGAACAAAACGAAACGATCAAAAGCGAAGCAACGAGCCGGAAAGAGGAGATTTCCTACGAGCAGGCCTACGAGCTGCTGTTGCGATCGCGTGAGGGGCCCCTCGCGGCGGAGTTTTTCTTCCGCGCGCTTTTAATCGATTCGGACAACCCCGCGGGGGTTCGCCACGCGCGTTTGCTGCTCGTCGGGCTACGCGAATGGGGGGAGCTCCTCGCGCACGATCCCAACGTAAAAGAAGGGGAAAACGAACAAAAGGAGCCGGTGAAAACGAAGAAACCCCCCGCAACGGCGTGGGGGAAGCCCAATGGCGAGGAATTTCCCATTCTCGCGTGGTTGCGCTCAAAGGGTGTCGGGCACACGCGCGATTCGGGGGGCAAAGCGGGGGAAAACCAAACAACAAAATCCACAAAAATAACGAATCCAACCCCTTCAAACGGTCGTCTTCTCGCGCAGAGTTGCGCGGTGGAGCTGTTGTCGATGCCGGGCGCGGCGGAGGGGTTGGTGTTGTTTTGGCGGGCGCTGCTCCCCTCTTCGCGCGGTGTTGCGTTCGCCTGCGCGGCGTCGAAACTTCTTCGACGGCTCGCACGCGATCGTCATCGCCGGGAATGGAAACGGGAACGGGAAGTTTTTAGGATCGATCAAACCCCTTTAGTACCCCTCGCGGAAGAAATCGCGCGGGATGAAAAAGCGCGATTCCACGCCCAAATCCGCGAACTCCTCGCCGAGGACGAAGAAGAAGAAGCGGAATGGAAAGGAAATCTGTGGGGTTGGAATCACCAGGGAAGGAATACGTTGCGAGAGGTGGCAACGACCTACGCCGTCTGCGTGTGGCTTCGAGAGGCGGATGGGGATTTCCGCTTACGAAACCCCCGTGAGAACCTCGACGCCTTGGCGGAGGTGATCGCCCTTCTCGACAAGCTTCCCCCGTCGAAAAAGAAGAAAAGAAATCAACCCCAAACACCGTTGTTGCTCACGCCCTGCGCGATTCGTCTCTACACCGGCGCGAATCTCCACCGGCTGTGGTATCGCCACGAAATCCCATTTGCGGTGTGGATGGCCTTCGATCTCACGCGATCGCTGCGGGAGCTGCGGAGGACGGGAAAAGAAAACCGTTTAGCCCCCTCCGAGTGGTGGTTGCACTCCCTCGACGTGATCGAAGGCCTTCAAAAAATCCTTCTCGTCGTGGATCGCACCCCGAGCGTGGATACGCCGCCCGCCCTTCAAGCGCTGTGGTACGTCATCCTTAAAGAGGCCTGTGAGGGGAGCTTCGCCAGCGATAATCGCTCGGATCGTTTCTCCGCCACCCCCGCTCCAAACGATTTGGTTGAAATGAAGGAAACCACCTCATTCGCGCGCGTGGAAAGCGATCGGAGGAATCGGGAAAATTCCGAAACTTCACCCGTCCAAAACGGCCTCGGGCGTGGCGGCTGTGCGGTGTTATTGCGCCTCGTTCTCCCGCAATACCGCCCATCGCTCTGGCGTCGCCCCACCGTCAACCTCTTCATTCGTTTACTCCACCAATGGGGTGAAAGCGATGAGCTACGACGCGTTTTCACGAAAATTAGTCAATGCGAATCGAAATACATGAATGAGGCATGGGATTGTATCCATGGAGAGCGGGAGGGCGGCGGTGAATCCAATGGAGAAGGGATGGAGTCGATTCAAACGAAAGAAAAGCCATCGAAGGTCTTTCCTTCCTCTTCTCCCGCGAAATCGGGTCCTCGCTACGTTCCTGCGCTCACGCTACGCTCGTGTGAGATCATCCTCGCGCACTGCGTTGATAACAGGGAAGGGAACTCCCCCACCATCGCGCAAACTGCGCATGAGGTGATTCAGTACATGCTACTCTCACTGAGGCTGATGAAGTTTCATCAGGAAACGTCCAAAAAGGAAGGGAAAACGAAAACGATCGGCCAAGGACCTCATGAAGATGAAGAAGAAGAGGAAGGAGAAGGGAACCTAGAAGCCTTTGTGGAGGAATGGGTTGAACGCATACAACGGGAATACATCCCCAAGCTCCCGAATCCGATTTAGTTTAAAATTATTTTTGAACGGTACTGAATCTTCACGCTTTCCCACTCGTCATGGGAAGATGCGATCTTTTGAACGGATCCTCATAATATTAAATATTTGCCCGGAGACTAATCCAAAAAAAAAGACAAATAAATATTTATTCCTATGGTCATGATGTAAATTCAAGTGCAAAGTGATAAAAGGGAATGCGAACACAAGCAACCTCTCTTCATCTTTCCTATCTTTGAGCGAGTGGGGTACGCATTCCGAGCTTTTTTTACCTAGAATACAAGCAAAATAAAATGCCAAGCACGTTTAGCACGAGGGAAGACATTCTCAGAGCAGGGGGAGAATAGCATATGCAAAAAAAAAAGGGATTTGTCGTTCCAATAAACACTGTTACCTATAGCCAAAACGAACCCCTCTCCTGCACCCCCTCAAAAAAAAAAACGACGAAGTAACCGATAGAATAAGCAGGAACATTGAGGGGTGAGGTTATGCGGATTGCAACATGATGAAAGGCCTTAAAGGCGGACGTCTACGCTGTCAATCAACTTTTTACGCGAGCAGTTTTCGCTCCCTCGCCCTCTTTTCGTTGCATCCTGCACTCATTTAGCGACGCAAAACTAGCCTTCCTACTCCTAACGGTGATGCTCATAATATCGATAATAATATCAGTACTTTCACGCAGGGAAACCTCCGAATAATAATGAAAGAATATTATTTGAACGACGCTTGCAAACAAATCTGTCGCTGTGCATTCCTTCGCGTTTTTTTCTCTTTTGATTCCACCATGTCCTACAAAACCTTCAGGCAGTGCTGCTCCGCTTGACTATTACTTATAGATATATTATTACCATCACGCAACTTGACATAAATATTTGATGATGTTATTGTTTATTGATTAACCTGCTATGTTATCCTCCATATATAAGCCCCAATGAAGCCACAGGTAAAACAGAGAAAGGTGCTATTTCTGATGTGGTTTATAATAGCTCTTAGATTAAAAATTGTTGCATTTCTATCACACTGAATGACAATACATTTTTTCGACCTCTACTTCCTCATATTTATCTCTCCTCCTTCACCATTCTTTTTTATTACATTCATTCTCGCTTACAGAATAGGTTTGTGTTTGAGTTAAACTAGCAAGCCGTGTTTTTTTCCCTTCCGAAACTAACAGTCGAGGGAGGGCTGTGTGTGTTGCTACTTCATCTGTGGATGTCATATCAACACATCAATCTTATTTAACTTAGTATTTGGCTTTGTGTTTTTTTAATTCCCATTTTGGTCTCTTTGTGCGTGTGTGTGTGTGTGTGTGTGTGTGTGTGTGTGTAG